ACTCATAGCGACCCCTCATTGGGTTTCCAAAGTGGTATCTCTAGGGAAGTAGATTGCCCAGACTTCCTTCTGAGGAGTGGCTAGTGCGTTTAAACCACCAGCCTTCTGGTTAGCAGTCAAATGCCTTAGGCACTGTTTGGCTTTTACCGTGTACATTAGCATATTTGGTAGGTAGGATATTTCTGAAAGTATTTTCAACTTAGATCTCTCCAAAATCACTCAGTAAGTTTTCTGAAATTAGAGAGGGGGTGAAACAAAAAGCCCTGAGTACTAAATATATTATCTTAGAAAGGCTGACATGATAAATGAGCATTTCAGAGCTCTTCCAGCATGTCCATTTCAGAGGATAGCAGTTCCCTGTGTAAGGAGCATATAATGAATGATGACATTCTAAGAATGTATATGGTAGGTGAACCCACAGACTTGAAGGGGATCTGGAGAGTTATTCCAAGCTATTTGGCCTCTAAGAATAGCAGTAAAAGTTTTGTTCAAAAGAATCACACCAAAGGATCATACTCTTTTCTCCTAAGTACAGAAGTAGAATTAGTAAAAAAAACTGAAACTCTTTTATCCAAGAATACAGTATTGTAATCATAAAACACCATGTCCAGACAAACACTCAAAGAACTTTTGGGCTAGGGATATAAACTAACATATCCTACATTTTCTGCTCTTGAGGGAAAGTTTGTATTACTTGGTACATTAATTTGCGTTCAGATGCAGAGAATAGAATCCATTCCATCTAAACAAGAATGAGTGTATTTGAAGCCATATAGAATCATTTAGAAGAGTAATGAAGTATACTTTAGGGTGAGCTTTCAGGGAGAAGTCCCAAAGCCACACAACAGAACGAAGAAACCAAGAGAGAAGTTCCAAAAGTCCTGTGATCCATAAACAGGGAACTGATACGGAGTGAATTTAGCCATTACTATTGCTGCATAAAGCTAGTGTCTGAATGGTCCTTGCCAGCAGAAATATCAGAATTGCTGCCTCCAGCTGGCTACCACCTTTTAGATCTCACTCCAATGCATCTGTTAGGCCCAGCTGTAATCGTATCCAGAACCCTGGGTATAAGGGAATCTGAGAAATAACTGCTTTCAACTTTCTAAATTCTAAGATACTGCTATTGTTGTGTGCCATCGAGTTGGACCCGACTCATAACGATCCCTCCTTGAGTTTCCGAGGCAGTATCATTGTGGAAGTAGATTGCCCAACCTTCCTTCTGAGGAGTGGCTAGTAGGTTTGAACTGCCAGCCTTCTGGTTAGCAGTCAAATGCCTTAGGCACTATGTCACCAGAGCTCCTAAGATACTGCTAGGAGTAGAGTAAATGTTGACTGTCATGTATTCATGACACTTAGTTATTAGACACAAGTAGTAAGCAGTCTAAATAAATTACTATAATTATTAACATTTTTTAGACAAACTAATCAATATTAATAAACTAATCAGCCACTCCTCGGAAGGAAGGTTGGGCAATCCTACTTCCGTAGTGATACTGCCTCGGAAACCCAAGGAGGGGTCGCTATGAGTCGGGTTTGACTGGACGGCACATAACAACAACAACAACAACAACAATCAATATTTAAGTTCCCCATTTTGTAATCAAAATCCATATACATACATGATTATTGACAAACCTCTGGCTGGGAGCTGTACTGAACAATCAATACATTCATTGTTGATAGCTCAACTTCATAACTCTCAGGACTTGGAAGGACTATTGTAATATAAATAATAAGAACTTGGATGGTGTGTCCTCTTCACCTTTGTAACAGGAATTAGTATTGAGACAGCAAATTCCCACTTACAAAAATGTCTTTCTGTCTGGTGGTGATGGCACTATCTGGATGACCTCAGTGTCATCATACCCCAAAGCACCAAGGAACATTATTTTTGTTCCATAATAGACTATATGTAACATATAAACAAACCAAAAAAAAAAAAAAAAAAACCCAAACCCTCTGCCATCAAGTTAATTCTGACTGATAGCGACCCACATTGGGTTTCCAAGGTTGTAAATCTTTGTGGAAATATATTGCCTCATCTTTCTCCCATGGAGAGAGTTTGAACTGGTGGGTTTGAACCTCCTGCCTTCTGGTTAGCAGCCAAATGCCTTATGCACTATACCACCAGAGCTCCTAATATAAATATATAATGCCTCTTTTTATTTCTTTGTGTGTATGTATGTGAGAGCAATAAATAACTCTTTTAGTTTCATAAAAAATTATAGTTCCGCTTTGGAAGATATTTTCTGCATGCTGTATCCTGCAAGAGGTCAGGTTTCTGGGTATGGGCGTCCCTTAAGGGTCATAGGCAAAGGATCATCTGTCTGAGCTGTGTGTGGCAACTGTTTTCAGGCAGGTGGACTGTTAGAGTCCTGAACAATGAAAGTGAGTGACAAGGACATTTATTGTTTTCTGTGGCATTGCTTTGACTTGCTAGTGACTGGCAGCACTTGTAGCTTTAAATAAATTGAAGAAGTAGGAGAGAGAATATGGGGAAAATGTTGAGTAAGTCCTTCTTGAAAATACTAATGGTGAAATTTTTCTTGAGCACCTCTTTGAATGCAGCTTTGAAAGCTAATGAAAATTCAAACTTTCAAATCACTGGACGAACCATTGTTAAGAGAATAAAGAGTTCCATCTTTCTTGGACAGGTTTTTTTTTTTTTTAGTTTGCTATATGCTTGGGGCAATCAAGTTATCTCTCCAAAGCCATTCTAAATTCTAAAAGGGCAAGCAAAATTATTATCTATTAAATGATTAATATTGTAGGTAGCATATTAATTTTAAGAGCTCTAGTGGTATAATGGTTAAGGCATTTGACTGCTAACCCAAAAGTCAGTGTTTCAAACCCACAAGCCACTCCACAGAAGAAAGAAACCTTCAGTAAAAGTTTACAGCCTTGAAAACCCAACTAAGGTTGCTAAGAGTTGGAATCTACTCGATCGGGGTGAGTTTGGTTTGGTTTTGGTTTATATTAGTTTATATTAGTTTTAGTCCAAATTTGTGATTGATCTCTGTTATATTTATAGGCTCTCCCTCTTATAATATGCCTGAGGTACTTGACTGCTAACCATAAGGCTGGGGGTTCAAACCCACGAGCCACTTCTTGGAAGGAAGGTTGGGCAATCTACTTCCGTAGTGATAACCACCTGGGAAACCCAAGGAGGGGTCGCTATGAGTCGGGGAGACTGGACGGCACATAACAACAACAACAACAACCCTCTTATAATATCAGTGTGCTGATTACTTCCATTCATAAAACTTAAAGCAATCAAGTGATTATATTCAGGTTGGATATTTTTATTAAAAATGGCTTTACAACACAACACACTGCCCTGGAGTCGGACCTGAATGTAGGACCCCTCCTTGGGTTTCTGAGGCAGTATAACTGCAGTAGATTGCCCAGCCTTCCTTCAAAGGTGTGTCTGGTGGGTCTGATCCACCAGCCTTCTGGTTAACAGTCAAATGCCTTAGGCACTACACCACCAGAGCTCAGCCTTGTGTATGCAGCCTTACAGAGGCATTTAATGCTATATATAATAAAAATTGCCTCCCATTGTTTTTCACACAATTAGTAGCAGAGTCTGCAGACTATATTATATATCTTGTTTTTTTCACTTTGTAATTTATCTTGAAGAATGCTCTTTCACAATGGCTTGGTTCATTCCTTCATTCTTTTTTTTTTTTTAAAGTTGGTTCTTTTTTTAATGACTTTATAGGTTCCACCAGATAGGCTTGCTATCTATTGAACTAATCTAATGGCTACTTTAATTGTTTACTATCTACAGACCTAATCTAAATTGTTATTTAAATTATTTTATCTACTCCTACTAATGATTATTTAGTGTGTGTTGTTGTTGCTGTTTGCTATAATAAACAATACTGCAGTGAATAACCTTGTCCATAAGTTATTTTATATGTGAGCATGTATACTTTTAGGACAAATGTTAGAAGTGAAATTGCTGGCTCAAAGGGCAAATGCCTTTGCAAATTTGATAGATATTGTCAACTTGCCCCTGAAGAAGGTTAAACCAGTTTACCCTCCCACCGATAATGTATTAGAGTTGCCTTTTTCCCCATAGCCTCCCCAACATAGTGTTATCATCAACCTTTCTGATCTGTGTTACTTAATAGCCAAAAAATAACTCGGAATAATTTTAAATTGCAGGAATATGATGTTGAGCATACTTTAATATATAAGACATACTGGCTTTCCTATATACTATCTTTTCATATCCCTTACTTTTTTTTCCCCCTTAATGAGTTGTTAGTCTTTATTATTATTATTAATTTATAGTAGCTCTCCACTCCTCGGAAGGAAGATGGGGCAACCTACTTCCGTAGTGATACTGCCTCAGAAACCCAAGGAGGGGTCGCTATGGACGGCACATAACAACAACAACAACTTGTATATACTAGGGAAATTAACTCTGTGAAATGAGATGCAAGTATTTTTTTTTCCAGTTTGTCGTTTGCCGTTTGATTTAGTTTGTGGTGGCTTTTTGCCATATAATTTTGTTTGTTTGTTTGTTTGAATCAATCTGTTTTCTAGATTTTGTGTCATGTTAGAAAGGACTTTTCTACTTTGAAGTATAATAAATTATTTAATGGTTTTATTTTTTTACATTAAAATCTTTGATACATCTAGAATGTATCCCAGTATAGGATGTATGTATGGATCCAACATACTTTTCTAGGTGACATTTGTCTGGTTGGGAAAATTTTTAATGGTGTTATTCTTGGATTATCTTCTACACACATGGCTCATATTTCTATTTGCCTAGCCCAGAGATCACAACTCAGATGCCTGTAGAGACTAGGCAGGTTACATAAAAGGGTAAACAGTGCCAGGTGAGGAGTATAGCCAACTGGAAATTAGATGGCATACTTTTCTAAAGAGGGCAGCTCTTAGTCGCTTGCTGGTTATTCCCTTGCAGGAATGCAGCAGGGCCCACTGTTGGCCGGATTTTAGTCAAGAGAAGCTGGAAACCTAGATTTTTTTCCCCCAAATAAAATCTCTTGATTTTAAAATGTTGGCAACAATCTAAAAATTCAGGTACAGCCTCAGCTAAACAAAATATGTCTTCAGGCCAGATTTGGCCCATGAGAGGCTTGCAATATCCTTGGCAATGCAGCTTCTCAATCAGAACTTTACTCTCTTATAGTAAACACAATCATTCTAGTGGTTTGACAGTCTAGTAGTTTGTATCTAGGGTTCATGAACAGGAGAGAAAAGTAAGGACCTTTTAGTAAGCCAAAGCCTTTGTTTTTACGGATTGAAAAATTAATTGGTGAAATACAGTCGTTTCATGAACCTGTGTTTTATCCCAAGTATATGGAAATGTGGACGTGGTGGTCATTTATTACAGGACATTGTTGACTCAGTGTGAACTTGGAATAGAAAAGCTTCCATTCTGATTCTGCCAGTATGACAAAATGGTGCATATTTTGAGGGAGGGTAATTGCTCAGCCACTCATGCTGGAACTAAAGTTATGGTACTTCTTATTATTTTATTTATTTATTGCATCTTCTTCTTCCTTTCCCTTCTTCACTGCTGGTGGCTGGGAATGAGGAGTAACGGACAACCTTCTTTATAACCTATTATCATTTATATATTCAGTATCTTTCAAACAAACAAAAAAATAATAAAATAACCAAACTCACTGCCGTGGAGTTGATCCGACTCACAGCAACCCCTCCTTGGATTTCTGAGGCAGTATCACTACCGAAGTGGTGCCCAACCTGCCTTCCGGCGAGTGGCTGCTGGGTTTGAACTGCCAGTCTTATGGTTAGCAGTCAAATGTTTAGGCACTAGACCACCAAAGCTTTAGTGGGATGAAATTTATGCTAAAGATCCCAGAGTTTGTACCTCCCCCAATTAGGAAAGCTTAAGGTGAGGGGATCTTTTTTTTTTCCTTTTTTTGCACCCCTGCCCCCTGAGCTGTCTCCCTCTGCATAAAGAGTCCTTCTTTCTCGCAAGATGGTTTTCTCCAAGGAGTGTATCTACCTCAGGTAAATGTTCAACTCCTATGCCTATCTTTTGTTTGGCTGGAAGCCACAGGTGTGAGTTCAATTCCAGACCTGAAGGGCAGCTAGGGGCTATGGTCTCAGTGGTTCCACCAGGCTCTATCAGACCAGCAAACCTGGTCCTGAGGGGATCTTTTCTAAGTTGCTATAATGTACCCCAAGCAGAACCAGCAGCGTCAGTGCAGGTTTGTGCCTTGCTGTGATGCTGAATAGGTTTTAGCAGAGCTTCCAGACTAAGACAGACTAGGAAGGAGAGCCTAATAATCTGCTTCCAAAATCAGCCAGTGAAAACCCTGTGGGTCACAACCGTCCCATCCGATTGTGGTTGGGCATGGGGTCACTATGAGTTGGGGGCAACTAGCAGGCAGCTAGCAAGTATGACTATGCCCCAGGTGCGGATCCAAGTTTTGTGGGATCTGAAGCTTACACAATTTTGAGGACACCATTAACAATAAAATTCAAAAATATTTTGAAATTTTTATAGAAATGATACAGTCTTGTTAACACAGGAGCAAATTAAAGACTCTTTTAAGTTCAAGCTTGATTAACATCATTGTCTTCTGTTTCTGCTGTCCCAACTTTATGCGAAGGGCTTTTCATGTCTCATCTCCTTCAGCCCTAACCACACAGCTCTATGAAGTAGTTTCTGTGTCTCATATACCGAGGAACCAGGTAGAGCTCAAATACGTTAAAGATCGTGTCCAGCTCAAATGTCTGTTTCTTTCTACATCCCTATACTGCTTGACTGCGGTTCTAGGGGACCAGGCATTCAAGAGTGGCATTGGGTCAGAAATGTCTTGCGAAGATCGAGAAGAAGAACCTCACGTAGAAAACACAGTAAACCGAAGAACAGTCTTCCCAAGTTTGTCCGCAAAGTGGACTCCCGCAACCCGGGCTCCCGCTCCCAAGCGTTCAGCTGTGCGGCGCCTTTTGGCATTCTGTGGCACGCATGCTCCGTGCGGGGCTTCTCCAGCGACTCGGGATAACAAGCGCTGGGCCGAGGGGGAGGGAAGAGCTGCGGCTGTGGGAACCCGGACCTCAGCTGCGGCTCGGGGGCGCTCTGCACGGCTGCTGGAGGGGCGGCGGCGGCGGCTAGCACTGTGCGCACCAGAGTGTGGCTCCCTAGTCGGTCACGCACGCCCGTTTGGTTCCCAGGGCCCGTTTGGTTCCCAGGTCCCTCTGGAGACGATCTCGGGCGGGCCGGGCAGTGCTGCCGGTTGAGAGGGTGGGGAAGAGGCAATGAGGAGACAAGCTGCAGCCGCCGCCGCCACTCTCCGCCCGCAGCGGCAGTAGCGGGAGTCAGGGCCGGGGGCCCGGCTAGCTGTACCCTCGCTGGGTTGCGAACCCAGACAAAGGAGGAGGAGCCACCCGAGAAGTGGGCCAGCGCTGCTGGGAAACGAGACCGTTCCTCACTTGTCTCCGGGGGTCGCCTGGGCTTGCGGGCCGCCGCGCTTCCGCTGTGGGTG